TGTTCAACCATTTTAACGAAACCATGAAACAGTACAAGTTGTCTCACAATTCCATAAACTGAAATCACAGCTTTACCTGAATTTGAAGCTCAAAAGTGGCTTGTAACAAAATAAAAATCCTTCCCTGATTATTCATTTTAGTGAAGTGACTACCAAAGACTAATGAAAATGAATTTTTTAGTTGAAAGAAAAAGAAAAATTTAATGTCAGCATCTGTCATGCCAGACCATGCTTCTATCTCCCACCACCCTAACCCAGACTTTGACCCTCTGCAGTACCTGAGGTGCTGATGTGACCAATTACCTGTTTTGAGGCTGGGACTGAACTCTCGGCTAGTGCGGGGAGGTGGGAAGGCCTCCAGGGCTGTCTGTGCTGGAAGGGCTCGATATAGAGGGGGAGTCAACTCTTCGCCACCAGAGGAGCTCCTCCGTACCCCACCTGTCATGGGCAGGCTCGACAAACTGACAGGCTTCTTCCCAATTGGCATCTTCCTCTCTAAATATCAAGTTAAACTAAAGTAAGCTTTTACTTACATGTGTGGTAAGAAAACTGCATCATAACTAGGAAAGGTTGTGCTGCACAGGATACTCTGAAAAGAGAACCAACTATGCAAGGTTTGTATTTCTGAAAACAAGGTGTGTGTGTGTGTGTGTGTGTGTGTGTGTGTGTGTGTGTGTGTGTGTGTGTGTGTGTGTGTGTGTGTGTGTTGGGGAGTGGATGATGGGGGAGATTATTTCTAGTCTCTCAGAGTCTGGTAATCCTGGTTCTTGACTCTCGAATCAATTTAAGACAAAACAAAGCAAAATGAACTACAGAGAGCATCGAGTGTGGAGAATAGCTGGCTAATTACCTTCAAAAATATTTTAGTTTTAGGGGGACTGACAATCCAATGGCAGAGAGGGTTTTAAAACCCTACTTGTAGGCATTTCACTGCCCATATAAGCCCAAACAAACACTGTCCTTCAGGGAGAAATCAAACAGTTTAATTAATGAATTATATGAGTGGCAGGATTTTACTGATATGAAATGTGCTCCCCTAACTTTTGGTTTATAATTCACTCTTTTAGAAAACAATTATAATTCTTATTCTGAAAAGCAGTTCTAAAATTTAAATGTTTGTTGTCTGCAAGTTCTTCAGCAATCTACTTTCTTTTGAAACACATTTGGTTACGGTTTCATAAGCACACATAAGCTTTCAAAGACTTACACAATGCTTTTACCAACAACAAAAAAATAAGCTTTGCAAACAGTGAACAACCAAGCATACTGCATTAATTTGATTGAAAGCTGAAGGATACTTACATATCTTTGTGACTATAAATTATATCTGTTTTCTTCCAGAGTTTACAAATGACTCAGGCAAGAACAATCAGAAATTATCCTTTGCAAAATCAGAACTAAAAGACAAATCTAAGTTAGACAGTATTCTTGCGTAAAATGATCTGGAAACCAAGCTCCTGTGAGTACACATTCAACTCTCAACTGCCAAACCAAAATCACTTGCAGCATTCATTTAGACGAAAAAGTCTAATGTACTACACACTTGGAGGTAAAAATGCAAGGAGAATCTCCAACTCGCTACTACTTACAATAGCCCCTGAAGATGGTACAGAAATTAGTGCTGGTTTTCCTGCTCTAGAATTACTAAGCCTTGAGGAAAAAAAGGCTTTTCAGATTGGACAGATCATGTGCACACAACCGTCTATATAATTCCCTCGACAGAACATCACCCTTATTTTTCAGAAGCACTAGTTAATAGTTATCCCTTTGCAGCATGAACACAGCTAATTAAAATATCGGCTAGAACCCGCGCACCACAATGAAGAGCAGTCTCCTGCTCGCCGCAACTAGAGAAAGCCAATCAACTGTCTAGTTCTGTAAAAAATAAGCCCTACCAAAGAACACACTGATGGATGATTTTAGGTACAAAAAGACCAAAGAGCCATAAGATGAAACAACAGAGCCAGAATATAATAATCTGTAGACAAACTTAAAAACAGATAAAAGGTTTTGTGGCCTATCTGACTGATATAAATCTGCATGCAATGGATGACTTAGGTTCCTGGACCCCAACTTCTTTCTTATTCTGGTGGGTAAAGTTTTGTGGAAAAAATTTCTAATAAATTATTTGCTGAGTAATGTGAAAACATAAAAGGAACAGTGTCCTTACAATGAAGACTGCTTCTTCATTCACAAAGCACTACAATTCCTTATCCTCAATTCCAAAATTCAAAGGTTTTTTTTTGGCAAAACTTTGGCAACAAAATCAGACCTCACTTGGTGATACTATTTATAATCTTTATTTGGCCCATTAAATGTAACTATTTATATATATTTTGCTTCAAAAAACGCTGCAGATGAGGGCTTCCCTGGTGGCGCAGTGGTTGAGAGTCCGCCTGCCAATGCAGGGGACATGAGGTCGTGCCCCGGTCTGGGAGGATCCCACATGCCGCGGAACGGCTGGACCCGTGAGCCATGGCCACTGAGCCTGCGCATCCGGGGCCTGTGCTCCGCAACGAGAGAGGCCACAGCAGTGAGAGTCCCGCGTACCGCAAAAAAAAAAAAAAAAAAAAAAAAAAAAGCTGCCGAGTCTGCAAGGGGTGTTACATAATGTATGCTACACACACTGTACTTTTTTTCTAAAATCCAAAAAATTCTAAATTCCAAAACACATTTGGTCTCTAGGATTTCTAATAAGGGACTATGAGTCCCTAGTTCTTTTCTTTTCTATGTCCAAAGGACAATTTAAAGGCATTAGAGGGACTTGCCTGGTGGCGCAGTGGTTAAGAACCCACCTGCCAATGCAGGGCCATAGGTTCGATCCCTGGTCCGGGAAGATCCCACATGCCGTGTAGCAAGTAAGCCCGTGCACCACAAATACTGAGCCTACGCTCTAGAGCCCGCGAGCCACAACTACTGAGCCCGCGTGCCACAACTACTGAAGCCTGCACGCCTAGAGCCTGTGATCCACAACAAGAAAAGCCACCACAATGAGAAGCCCGCGCACTGCAACGAAGAGTAGTCCCCTGCTCGCCACAACTAGAGAAAGCCCGCGCACAGCAATGAAGACCTGACGTGGCCAAAAATAAATAAAATAAATAAATTTTAAAAAATAAAGGCATTAGAGATGATGTCATAATATTAAGAGCTATTAAAATGTTAAAGAACAAATTATATTTTTAGCTAAATTCATTTCTTCAGCTAATCCAGAAATCTGATAATGTTAAATGTCACTAAAAACTGGGACAGTGATATCATCACTTCATTAGTTTCACATTTCTTCCCATGTCCCCAGCCCATTAATTCAAAATAATTAAGCCCCATAAACCATAAACAAGTCATGTGTGTGTCACACTGCGGAGGTATGTGAACTGTGTATACAATGCTCAGAAATTCATCCTAAAAAATATATGTCATAAAGTCACTGAGTAATAAAAAGCATTCTTCAATTCGACACATTGCAAAGAAAATTCTGAAATCTCATAATAATAATAAATAAAAAGTGAAAAGACAAGCCAAAGCAGCCTGTCTTAGAGAATGCTTAGTGATCACGTCTGCTATGGTTAGTCCACTGACATGAAGTTACTACGTGACTTCTTGCTAATCAGTTCCAGATAAGTGGGAAATCACTTTCATCTACCTGGTCTGGCAATGTTCTCTAGAGTGCTTTTAGGTGAATATCAAATAGCCAATCAGCAAAATAATTTTTGGTCTGTGGGAGGCTTATGTCCATAATATAAAAGAGAGGGTAAGAGACAGGCCTGATGATTATCACTATTGTGAGGCTGACTTGGGTTTCATGTGGGGAGGAAACTAAAGCACCACTGCAGTGGCTGCTAGAAGTACCCACTGAAAAAACAATTAACATCAACTATAATCAAACGTGTGAAGGTATATTTGATTCTTCACACTGTTTCAGTCTTTTGGTTGTTAATGAGACAGATTAGCACTTAGTCGAACATATGGCAAGTCAGTTGGAAAAATCTGTTTTAGTTTTAATCCTCTAATATACTTTTTACTTTAAAAAAAATCTTTAAGTAAAAATAATCTTATCTCAGAATGAAATATTCCATGACAGTTTCATGAAGAGAAAAATCTGTAGTTTACTATGGGGTGGGGGAGGGAGATTTTAAAAGAATCAGAGCTATCAATATATTTTATATTATTTTGGCTATTAATGTCAGTAATCATTCATTGTAAGGTAAAATATAATATAGACAGCATGTTGAAAAAGATTTTCTTAAGCCTGATTGTGTTACCTATCAACTTGAATTTCTTTTTTTTTTTTTTTTAACTTCAATTTCTTAGAAGTATCATTCTAGAAAGAGAGTTTTGGTTTATAAGAAGGATGGGTTTATTAGTTTCCAAGTCTATTGTAAGCATCAAGCATCTGCTTTTACAGTTTTTTTAATAAAAAATTTTTTAAAAAAGGATTAATTTTCAGAAGGTTTACATATTACTTTAAGAATCATTCACAGGGCTTCCCTGGTGGCGCAGCGGCTGAGAGTCCACCTGCCGATGCAGGGGACACGGGTTCGTGCCCAGGTCCGGGAAGATCCCACAATGCCATGGAGCGGCTGGGCCTGTGAGCCACGGCCGCTGAGCCTGCGCGTCCAGAGCCTGTGCTCTGCAAAGGGAGAGGCCACAACAGTGAGAGGCCCGTGTACCACAAAAAAAAACAAAAAACAAAAAAACAAAAAACGAATCATTCACAGACTCTATTCTTTACCATATATCAAATATTATGGTAATAATTTTTCATGTCAATCAAAGATAAGTGCTTCTCATTATTGAAAAGGTTTGCCTTTTATGGCATACTGCACCTTTAAGCATAATACAGAATGCACAGTTATCAGCTCTCACAGGGGATACCATTTCTGTGCAACAATACCAAGATCCCAGTTGGCTGACAAGTTAGGAAATGTACATAAACACCATGTGGTGACCCACTTTTCTTATGTCCTTTGTATTGCTGGGACTTAGCCTTTTTCTTCTGTTTTGATGAACCTGATTGGCTTTCTCTTGATGCTGAAAAATAAAAGAGAAAATTGATATCAAATAATTGCTTACAACTCTAGGTACAACTTAGATGAACTATCTTCACCAAATCCATGACGTTTATAAAAGTACACGATGCTGTGAAAATAAGGGTACTTGATCCTGCAAAACCATGAAGCTCAATACCAGACAGATTCCATTATTTATTCAATAAGCACTTATTATATATCAATAAATTTTAGCCTATAACTTTAAACTCATTAAAGGAAGTCTAGCTTAATTTGGTGAGTGCTCTTAATGTTGTGTTTCTATAGTCATTAAGCAACTGACTATGGAGTTCACACTGCCATGGTACACATGGTCTGATTCTGCGATATTGTTGTTGAGTCTTAAGATCTTACCTGCCAACCAGTCAGACATAGGTATATTCTTGTCCTGTGAGCTCACAAGGTGATTTATGTGAGACAGTCCTCGGAGAATTGCTGATTTTTACAAAAGGACACCTTTTCTGTATACCAACTTACACTGTGATGCTGGAGGCTGTAGTTGATATCCAGTTAATTGACACCACCCTACAGGATAGAGGTCAGGGGATTCACAGTCTACCCACTGATCATATTCTTCTTCCCATCCATCAAAATGTATCCTCAAGAGACGATGAATAATTCGAGTTACTGTGGCTACACATATTAACCGTGGCTCCATGAGATCTACTGCTTCTAATTTCATTCCTACACGAAATCCGTGATTTGGAACATCCTAACATGGAGAAGCAAAATATTAACACTGGTGAAAAGAAGAATGTATAACTCTACTAACACTAAGAAAGACAAAAGAGAAGTAACATAACCAATTAACAATTTAGACCAAAGAAATCCCAAATAATTAATTATTGAAACATATGAAGGTGAAGCATATAAGAACTAGTTAGGAAATGTATTCATTCCTATTTTACTCAGATTAAAAGTGAAACAAAGTTTGGAAACAAGCTTCAATGCCTATGTAAAGGAAATATGTACATTGTTTTACGAATATATATTTGTTTATATTATATATATATTTGTTGAATATATATTTGTTTTACGAATATATATTTGTTTATATTAATTCTAACGAATATATATTTGTTTATATTAAATTCTAACATAAGGCAAAGACATTCTGATCAACAATGATTTGCATTTGTGAAGCATCAAAAAAAATCCACATAAGTATTATGCTATCTTGTAAATTTACCTTATTAAATAGTTTTACTGGTGCTGCAATGGAGCCAGTTTCCCTGAGGTAGTCAAACCATTTAAAAGGAAGTTTTGTGTAACCTGAAAAACATAACTGGTTTAACTAGGAGTTCACCTAAAATTAGTGTAATAGTCAAATGTAGATATAAAGTAATTCAGTGCGCACTACAATCTCAAGTGCTAATTAATGCTGTACAGTACAATAGTTCCTCCCTGTTATATGGATATTCTTCTTTTTCTAGGCAGAAACAGGTGCGCCCATTTATTCTAACGGCAAAGTAACTCTCCTCTCCTCAGTGTATAAGAACTACAGACTTTTGCTTTTCAATCCTAGGCTTAGAACAGTCTAATATTTAATATTTTTTCAGTAGTATTTTTCTTTCTTTGTAAGGAAGAACTCTGGCTGGGCAATACTATTTTTATAGTCTTCTGTTTGACTTTTCTCCTTCTTAAGAGAAAAATCCAAGGCTCAGATATTGAAATTAGGGAAGTCCCTGGTTAAGCCATATGAGCTATTTAAGGGTATGTCATCTTTTAAAAAGTCACATGGTAATCGTTTTTATTTTTTTATTTTTTTGGGCCACACCGCTTGGCTTGTGGGATCTTACTTCCTTGACCAGGGATCGAACCAGGGCCTCGGCAGTGAAAGTCCCGAGTCCTAACCACTGGACCGCCAGGGAATTATTCCCTCATACGGTAATCTAAAGATGAAAACTTGTTTTCTCTCAAAGGCTAAAGTACATATATTTTTTAAAAAGTTCATGTATGCAGTAGCTCTTTGAGCCTACATCAACATCTCAACAGGGCTTGAGAATACCAATTCTTATTATAAAACGTACAGATGCTAAGGGAAAATTCTACACCAATGTAATTTATTAAAGCTACTTAGGATACAGTGCTTTATGTTTTCAGGGCACCCCCCAGCTCTTGTTATGTACGCATATGTTTATATATACATATACACATACTATATTTTCATACAGCAAGAAATCTAGGGCTGTGGTAAATGTTGTAAACAGGTACCATGTAAAAGGAAAGCAAGGACGAAAACCCAGTGTATATATTAGGAAGAAGTACCTCTGGGTGGAGTAAGTTCAATCATGTTAATTTCACAGAAACCAACAGGGAAAATAGAAGGGGAGGTTGCATGATAACAGAACCAGTCAGATCCGTCGGCTGCTTCTGAGCCATCGATCCCAATCATCAGGAATCCATCAGCCAGCACCTTTTAAATTAACAGAATTCCAAGTATTTTAAATTAGGTACCCACAATGTTCACTGCAGCACTATTTACAATAGCCAGGACATGGAAGCAACCTAAATGTCCACTGACAGATGAATGGATAAAGAAGTTGTGGCACATATATACAATGGAATATTACTCAGCCATAAAAAGGAACAAAACTGAGTTATTTGTAGTGAGGTGGATGGACCTAGAGTCTGTCATACACAATGAAGTAAGTCAGAGAGAGGAAAACAAATACCAGATGCTAATGCACATATATGGAAAAAAACCGGTACTGATGAACCTAGTGGCAGGTCAGGAATAAAGATGCAGACGTAGAGGATGGACTTCAGGACATGGAGGTGGGGGGAAGGGGAAGCTGGGACGAACTGAGAGAGTAGCAGTGACATAGATACACTACCAAATGTAAAATGGATGGCCAGTGGGAGGCTGCTGCATAGCACAGGGAGATCAGCTCGATGCTTTGTGACCACCTAGCGGGTGGGAGGCTCAAGAGGGCGGGGATATGGGGATATATGTATACATATAGCTGATTCACTTTGTTGTACAGCAGAAACACAACATTGTAAAGCAATTATACTCCAATAAAGATGTAAAAAAAATATTAGGTACCACTATTATAAAAATGATCCTTTAAGTGACATTCTAAAAGAAAGGAAAATCTATTACATAAAGATCTCTTAAAAGTGAAAAATGTACATGTATTTAATTACCTTAAATAACTGAAATTATAATGAAAAAAATCTGTGTAAGTTCTAGTGTGTACCAGAAATAACAGCATGGTTCCACAGAAGTGATTTCAGAGGTCTAGGGAAAACAGTACCTCTGCCAATGACCAAGGCTGTCTGCTGCTGTGGCACGTGAAAGTGGGCTGAGTGCTCTTTTACAATTTAACTATCTAGTCTCAGCTAAGCTTTAAATCTTACTCAGTAATAACTTTATTTCCTTCTGATTTATCACATAGAGAAGTTTTTCTAAACCTCTTCCACCTTCCTCAAGCTCCAACTTTACCTCTCTCATGCTCTGGATGATCGTGCTCCTCTATCACAGAAACTATGTGAGGGGCCTCACAGTCCATCCTTTGCACCTCAAATTGTTGTAAGTAGTAGTCCTTTCTTTGCCCCTCAAGACAAACTTCTCCATCTTGACCTACTGTCACTGGTACCTTGCTCCTAAAACACCATCTCTTATACTCTAATGTCTCCCAATTCCCATTACACTAAAAATATTTTATTTTGAAACAGTTCAAACTTACAGAAAAGATACAAGAAGAGTACAATGAATTCCTATATACTCTTCACCCAGAGACTCAATTCAAGTTATATACTATGTAACTCCTTGAAGTCTGACCCTACTAAACTGCTAAATTCACCGATGACCTAGTTTGTCAAATCCAGTGCCTTTTTTCCAACACTTCAGCCTCCCTTACAGTATCCCATACCAGTTGACTACTCAATTTTTTGAAACATTTATTCCCATACTCTCATTACATTACAGTCTACTGGTCCATCTTCTCACCTCTGTGTTCATTCCTTCACATTATTTTGGTGGCCACCCTTTCACCTCCAACTCTTGTTTCTGATTTTAGCCCTTTTCTTTTGTTTTCATGATGGCATCCACTCTTCAATGGTTGACTTTTATGCCAACAATTTCTCAAGTTTTATCATGAGTTTCTCACCCTCCCAGTGTCTCAGTCCTGCATTTTACCTGCATGCTGAACATATTCTCTGAGAGTTAGTACAGGGCATCAAACCAACAACTTCCTTCTCCTGCTCCTTTCAAAGGCAATCAATCACTGGGTCCCCACAGCTCTCCCTAAACATTCAGTCCCTTTATCCTTGCCATTAACTAACTCTCTCCCCATTATGTTGTTTGATATCATTGCTTTCAGCCTTCCTCTATGGACATCTCCCCTCTTACACAGTTAAGCTTTCCTTTGGTATGACCTCTGTTCATTCCAGAAACCTTTACCAACTTCTCCTGTTCATAAAGGAAACTCAGACAGCCTGACCAAGCATTAAAGACTGCACAATCTAATTCCACATCATCTTTTGCCTTTGCCTGCAGGTTCCTTTCTCCTAGCTATTTCTACTATATTGGATATGTACACTAACTTTCTCTTCAACCTTAACAGCTCTAAGACCTCTGGAAAGGACTACCTCCACTCACATGGGATTCTTTTCTCCCTTTCTAAATACAGCTGACTGGATCAGGGGTTAGTATTCAACCTTCACAGGACCAGGCCAAAGGCTGGGCTCAGTTGTTTAGATTCTCTCTCGGTAATTAGAATTAACAGACACAGAGATAGTAGTCAAGCCATCGGTTGGAGCTGGCACTGAAAGGTTGTGATACAGACAGGGACAGGGGCTACCATGTGCAGACTGAGTGAGCAGGACACCAACAGAGAAAGAGTGAAAGAAGAGTGGTGCAGACACAGAGCATAGGTGGAATAAAGAGGCCCCCGAGAGGTGGAGGATAACACTAAGTTTATGCCTTCCCAGGTCTCATCCCTGTGTCCTTGCATGTCTGTGAGCGTGCCCATTGCAACCTTAGAGTAACTTTCCTAGAGCTGACTTGAGTGGGTTTCTCTTCCTTATAAACAAAAAGCCCGGTCCAGAATATTCAACTTGTTTGATGTGTAATGTGTGTGAACCACTCTCCATTTCCTAAATGTGGCCTGTACTTTCCACTCTTGATGCTTTTGTGCATATTCACTTTCCATGGCACTTTCCTCCTGCATCTCTGCTTGGCAGAGTTTTTCCCATCCTTCAAGACAAAGTTTTCAAATGTCCTCTCTTCCATAAAGCTTCCCCTGATTCCTCTGAGAAGATGTGACCTCTTCTTTATTTGAATTCCAACAGTACTTGTACCTTTCTTAAATCATAGTTGATCTTGTATGTTAAACTTATTTTCATACAACTTATCTCGTTCTACAAGACTGTAAGCTTCTTGTTTCGTTTTTTTTTTTTTGCGGTACGCGGGCCTCTCACTGTTGTGGCCTCTCCTGTTGCGGAGCACAGGCTCCAGACGCGCAGGCTCAGCGGCCATGGCTCGCGCACCCAGCCGCTCCGCGGCATGTGGTATCCTCCCAGACCGGGGCACGAACCCGTGTCCCCTGCATCGGCAGGCGGACTCTCAACCACTGCGCCACCAGGGAAGCCCAAGACTGTAAGCTTCTTAAAGTCCAAACCAAACCTAGCATGGCAAGAATTCCTAAAGTATTTTCTGAGTGAAGCTGGGTCTTCTACTCGCTGGACACTTATTTTCCTTTCCCATAGAGCATGGCGCTGGTTCCCAAACCTGGCTGATTTTCAGAATTACCGAGAGAACTTTTTATTTTATTTTTTAAACAAATACAGATATCTGGGCAATAATTCTTGCAATGCTGATTGAGCAGGTCTGGAGTAGGTCATGGAAATCTATGTTTTAAATAGTGCCAGGTGGTTTGGGTCACTAGTCAGGTGAGGAAGAAGAACAAGGGTTTGGAGCCTGTCTGGTCTACAGCTGTGTGACCTGAACACAAGTGTCTGGGACATGGCAGCCATCACAACTGTTTTTAATTCTTTTGGCTTAAGGCTTAAAACTGTGTTGCAATGCAAATCACAATTTAGTTACACCTTTATGTAAGCAGATTCTGGATCAATGGTTCTTAACCTTGGTTGTACCTGAGAATCACCTGGGGACTTAAAAACAAAAACAGGGGCTTCCCTGGTGGCGCAGTGGTTGGGAGTCCGCCTGCCGATGCAGGGGACGCGG